TGCGTGGAATTCACTATGACGCATTTACTAAAACAATAGAATGTTGAACCTGTTGAAACTTGTCATCGTTTCACTAACATATTATTCAGTTCATCGCCAACTTTCGTAAATATCGAAAGTATTTTAGTATCCATAGAAGATGAATATAGATAATCAGTACAAACGTGCTGTGCTACATTTTTTTTTTATTTTCGTATGGTGAATCTGGCAGGTTTGCAGGGATAAAAATTAATAGTGTACATGGTGATAGCGTAAGGACTGCCCAGAAATGGTTTAAAAATTTTAAGTTGGAAAAAGCAGCATGGATGATGAACTCCGTTCAGGACATTTTGAACTGTTAGAACCAAATCAAACGATTCATTCAGAAGTTTATAGTGAACAACTTTGCCGTCTAAACTCAGAATGGCTCCAAAAACGCCCACGATGGGTGAACTATCAAGAAAGTGTTGTTTTATCGTGATAACGCTAGACCGCATACGGCTCGACAAACACTGAAAAACATCAGTGAATTTATTTGGGAGCTTTTGCCACATCCTGCTTACTTCCCAGATATTGCCCCAAGTGATTTTTCACCTTACAAAATTTTTTACTGGGGAAAAAATTAAATTCTAAACAGGATGTGCACAATGAACTTTCAAGTTTTTTTGCATCAAAACCAGAGTCTTTCTACAGCAATGGAATAAAAAAGCTGCCTGTAAGAAGGCTAGACATTGTAGATAATGGAGGAAAATATATAATTAATTAAAATGTTAAATTTTGTTTTTTATATTATTTAAAATTTTACCAAAAAATGTGCACGAATTTATGGACTGACCCAATAGTTATTTAGATCATCATAATTATTTGTATGGTGTCTTGCAGTTCACTGTGTGAACAAAAGGAAAAAGCGTCTGTGGTTTTACAAAAATTGGCAGAGAGAAGCACAAGCTATAAGGTATTTTCTAACTCCTTTCTGCATGCCTTCGTGATGTTACTGAAAGTACACTCGAGGCGTATTCGAGAGGTCCAGGACATTGCATCTTTTTCACGTTTCCTCACATGGAGAAGAAAACCTGTTGACACTACAAGTGACTCCCGAACTAAAAGCCTAATTCGTCACCACTAGAATTTGGCAAATGGGTTCCCTAAAATCTCCAATCGCCCTTTAACAAGGGAAGTATATAAAGTATTTTCTTCCTCCTTTCCGCATGTCTTCGTGGTGCTATTGAAAGCATACTCGACGCATCTTCGAGAGGTCCAGGACTTTAGTTCCGGCGAGAGTACTGCACATATTTCACATTTCCTGATATTGAAAAACAACTAATGACTCTACAAAGCTTGCAGCTTAGAGGTAATGTTTTGCAAGGTTTCATTGAGCTTTTAAACAGTTATTTTATGAACATTTCTAGCATTTTCATTTCTATTTTCCTGCCAGAATGTAAATTTCTAGCTCTGCGATATTCAAATGAGGTAGAAAGAACAGAGTATTAAAAGAAATATTTTAGATGGTAAAATCAGAGCGTTTTCTAACTTCTGAACACCACGTTTGTTAATTTGATGTTCTCTTGAGAGTAGTGTTTTACGGAGTTGCATTTTTCTCGCCATTAGTCTTGTCACGCCGATCTTTAGATCAAAGTTTCTTTACACCCTTCTTAGTCTCTATAGTATCTTTCAAAACATAATGATAATTCACTTTTAGTCATTCAAACGTTTCATACATTTTTATGCTTTCAAAGAATGCGAAACGGTATAGTTTTTAAAGTTAGTGGCACTAACGAAGGCGTTTATTTCTTTGAATCATTTTTCACTACAGAAATTCGTAAAATAGAACTTACACTATAGCGATTATTTAACGATTATTATATTGTCTTGAAGAGAATTCCTAGGGCGAAACGATATATGAAAGGATCATGCCCATGATCTCTCTAGCCTTGTCTAAAAGTTGTAGGAAAATCACGAAGCCCAAAACAAATCCCCTGATCTCATCTCGAGAATTTTTTTCTATTATGTTGAACTCTGTGCAATTTAAATTCAGTTTCCTGCTCTTAAAACTATTTTATACCAGCAAACGGGCATTCAGTGAACAATAATTTTGCGATATTTATTTTAATAATAATTTCCTTTTTTATTAAGAATTGTATACATTATCAATTAAAATATGATATATAGGCATCTCCACTACATTTCTGTAGACACACTCTTTTTTGATGCAACGTTTGCAGTGCATCAGGGCTTCTTAAACTTTTTTCAGTCGCGACACCTTTTTATCACTGAGATTCTTTTTCGCGACCCCTGGACTCCGTAATATTTACGAAAATTTGTGGAACTGCATAAGCATTGCGCAAATCCGACACACACGTGAGTGAAACCGTCAATGTTTTCACATGTATTGTAGTATATTATTGCACTTTTAACTCATTAACTTTAATTTCTAATTTTAACACTTTAAGTAGACCTATAATTCAGTTGTAGAGAAATTAGGCATTTTTTTAAAGCAGGAGAGATGAAAAATGAGCAATGCCCTCGCCGGGACTTGAACCACGGACCTCTCGAATACGCATCGAGTCTGCTGACCACTACACCACGAAGAAAGGTGGGAGAAAATACCTTATTTACTCATCCTTTTAACTAAACAAAGTGAAAATTTTAAATAAGTAACAGACGAAATGACAGCGTCATGTGCAAAGCAAGTAAAATGAAAGTTTATATTATAAAAAGAATGCGTCGAAACGTTTTCATTTTTTTTTCTTTGTCTATATTGTTTTATCTTTATCTATTTTCAGATACATTGTGTAAAAATATTTGGTAATTGTAAAGTTATTATAATAAGTCAAAGAAATATCAAAAACTGCTAAAATTTTTGGCGACCCCTACGGGGGTCGCGACCACAGTTCTTTTTTTAAGAAACTCTGCAATGCATCATATAAGACTCTGAAAAAAAATTCATTAATACTACAATTTGTTCATCGATAAATGTAATTACAAGAAATATTTTCTTTACAGGTTAACCAAGTTTTCAGTTTCTAGAAATTTGAGTTTTCTCAAACTTTGATCCAAGAACTTGAAAGCATTGTGACTGCGTTAAACTATCCAGACTAGTTAGGGAGTAGTTTTTGACAGAAATAATAATTAGTGTGGACATTCTGCTGTTGCTAGCGTTACCGAATAAAAATACAATAGCAAAGATATATAAAGAGGTGTTTACGAATGAAACTGCTAAATGGAATATGTCGATTTTAATTAAGCGATTTCAGGTAAAGAGAATAAGAATGCTCTTTTCTTTCTATGTGGATTGAAGGAACAAGAAGTTTCCTTGAAATTCTACTTGATTACATTGCGAAAGATGCACTCACAAAGGTTCTGAAATGCATTTTGTTTTTGTTTGTTTTTTATATCGTAATATTTAAAAACTAAACATTACTTAAAATCCTTAATAATATTTCTTCACTTGAAAATATTAAATATAATAAATTCCGCATACCATGAACTTGCTTAAGGCGAATGCGGATTGACATGAACTAAATTAATTTCGGTCCCGGCAGCGATGTATATAAATTTATAGGAAGTTTTGCAGGTTAACACGAATTTCGGTTAGCACGAATCACGAACCGCGTTTTAGCCAGTTGCATCTTCAGATTTTATCAATTAACACGAACTTGCGAAGTTTTTCATATTTTTTCTGTTCTTTCTCTACTAGGTCTGCGTTCAGAAATGTTCCGTCCCGTTTAATTGTAAACCTCACAGAATATACTCTAGTCTTTAAAACATAACCACCATGAGTAACGTTGCTCAACAATCGCGATCATCGCGTTAACAGTGAGCTTCAATCATGAAATGCAATGTTTTTTCCTATGTTCAGAAATTTTCTTTTATTCCTTAAAAGTTTGCTAATATGACTAATGTTAAATCTTGAACAATTCTGAATTAATCAGGTAAAATTACTTACTTGTTTTCCTCCAATGGTCACCGAGTTACCATCTTCTCTCCTTCGTAAAATTTAAAAAGATACAGAATATTAAATGAATAATTCTAGTTCAAATTTAAATGACTTGCATTTACAATAAAAGATTTATATAGTTAAGTTTAGTTACTGAGTTGTAGTTTAGTTACATATAGATTTACTGAGTTGTAGTTTAGTTGCATATGAACTTTCAGCGCGCGTCAACATTTATTTATTCTCAGAAAATTCTAACCGCAGTGTTCGACAAAGCACTAGATATCGCTTTGGTAGTTTTCAGGATGCGACAAGTAACGTCAAGTAGTATATTGAAAAAAGGTATGGAATTACCAAATCTATCTTATCCACAATACTTAAAAAATCGAGAAAAATAATCCTTAATGCTGCTGCATCGGGTTCCTGGAACACATCTAAGCGACTTCGCAGGGCCAAATACGAAGATTTCAAAATTTTACTTCTGTAAAGGTTCAGTCACATTCAATCGTCAATCATGCGCGCTTCCAATTAACCTTTAAGTAGACCTATAATTCAGTTGTAGAGACATTAGGAATTTTTTTAAAGCAGGAGAGATGAAAAATGAGCAATGCCCTCGCCGGGACTTGAACCACGGACCTCTCGAATACGCATCGAGTGTGCTGACCACTACACCACGAAGGAAGGCGGGAGGAAATACCGTATTTACTCATCCTTTTAAATCTGTTTCCCTGGGGATTATAGGACCCAATCGCCTAAGCCTGGTGGTGAAGAATTATCATCCACTACCCTTTTAGTTCGTGCGCCACTGTAGAGATATTAGGTATTTTTTAAAGCAGAAGAGATGAAAAATGAGCAATGCCCTCGCCGGGATTCGAACCACGGACCTCTCGAATACGCGTCGAGTGTGTTGACCACTACACCACGAAGGCATGCTAAGAAGGCGGGAGGAAATACCTTAAACAGTGAAAAGCAAAAGAAATTGCAAAATTTTAAGCATTCCGGATTTCCGTTGGCTGTACTGCTCCCAAAAGAGGATCTCGATTTCATCACTTTTGATCTGTGTTGCAGAAAATAACGCTGTTGAAGAATGAGTAAACAACTTGTTAGTGAATTAAACAAGATTATAGAAAAGTATGTCTTGTGTGATATGTATACTATGGCCGAAACTAGAAGTTTTTACAATCTTTTCCCAAGTAGTACCCTCGGAATAAAATATGACAAGTGTCATGATGGAGCATGCATTAACCAACGGCCAACTGCTTCCCTTGTGTGTGATGCAGACAGCATTGATAAGCACTGCCCTCGTCTGATCGGTAAGTCCGAGAATCCAAATTATTTTAAGAATACTTACTATTTTAAGAATACTTTAAGAACAGTACTTGCATTTACTGTCACCATAAGAAAAGCCTGGATCGACAGCTCGTCATTTCGCAACTGTCTTCATCGTTTTAATAGTCAAATTGTGGCTCAGAATAAGCACGTTTATAGGACACTAGGCAGATGTACAGCCCATAACATACATGATCTGAACTTAACCACCATAAAGATTCATGTTTCTCGCCCATATTCAACAAGTCGTCTTCAGCCTTTGAATCAAAGCAATATTGCAGTTATGAAGAGATCTTATCACAAGCGACCTGTGAGGGCTGCTATTTGAGCTGCTGAAAGGAGACGAAAACGTCAATCTGAAGCACGCTTAATGTAATAAAAGCTATTGCCGCACCGTGGAAGTCTGTGCTATCACAACATACACAGAAATGTTGTCGAGATGGCTAAAAGTCACAAAAAGAAAAACTTGGATAGTTACAGAAAATTTTACCACAGAATTAATGAGCTTTTAATAGCAGAATCTGTCAGACTGCATTCGATTCATAAATCTGTGATCTCAAACAGAGAGATGTGGCAGGATTCATTGTTTTTCATTGATGTGTTTTCTTCAAACCTACAATTTGAAATTGGTACTGGGAAGCTCAGAAATGATTCATAGATTTCATAGATTTTCTTCTATTGTAGCAACTTCTCACTTGTTTTAAATATTTCGTTATCTCCCTTTTTTATGTTTTTGTATTTGAATCTTTCGTATCGTTTTATCTTTTTCATTTCTGACTTTGCATAGTTCGCACTGAAAACCGAAAACATTTTCTGACCCAGTTGGACAATCAGGAAGTCAAAATCATCAAAAAAATAACAAATTAACGGGTTTACACTGAGTTTTAGAAGACAAAGACGGTTTTTTAAATGAGGAAATTGTATCTAGCTACTCTCGAAAACGTTCCAGGCTTTTAGAGCTCTATATCAACTGAAGACATTTTATCTTTCTAGAGTAAAACTTATTTATCCCATTTGACACATTATAGTTGCGTTAGGACATGTGAGAAATGGCAAAAGATAGTGAAAAACCGGGCAGTCAGAGAATCTAAAAGGGCTTGAATTCTTTTAGGAAGTTGAAACGACACAGCTAAAATGGCTCTGGGGAAATATGCAAGAGGTTCCACTGCATAAATTATTGAGTTTTCATCCGGTAGTAAAATGCTTTGAGAAACATTTTCATATAAATAAGTCGAGAATACTATGTAGCTTATTAAATTAATGAATATCAAACATTCTATACCTTTATTTGACGCAGAAAATGATGTTGATCAAAGGGGTTTTTTTTCCCGGCAGAGTAATTGCTTCTCATGAATAAAGTGTAGCTTTCAAGTTTGGAATGTATAACAAAGGCCAGTTTAAAGTATTTAAACTAACAAAATTATATTAATGCTATTTATAGTAAATGTGACATTTTTTTCATTTTTCAGCCTTGTAATTTTGTTGTAATTTTCATAATCTAATCTTTCATTCATCCATACTTGCTAACCAACATCTCTCAACTTTGATTTCCTTGCGTATTGTATCCATAAATGTCATCAATGAAGATCTCAAAGACTAAATATTTTTAATTCAAACAAATAAAATGTTCGGCAAGTATAAGGATAGACCAAAGTTACGTGAAAAAGAATAGAATCAAAGTGACTTCCAAGAGGGTCTTTTAAATCTTACAAAATCGGTTTTTTTTTTTAAATTTAGTCTTTTCTGTTAGTTTCTGTCTTTTTCTTGACATATAAATTTCATATGATAAATATAATTTTAACATACAGTTTATTGAAAACATTTTTCAGTTTATACTTTTGATCCTGTCAGAACTTAGTCTAGTCAGCCTAGTTAGTTTTTGCACTCCAGCAGCTTCGAAATGGCTTACCTAGAAAACCGATTTTTGAAGGATCAGTTTATTTAGAATTTCTAGGCTGTGCTATAAAGTTGCTAATTTTTCTGCATTTAGCATAAATTCTGTCTCAGCAACTATCATATATACTCGTGCTATGATTGAATTACTTTTGATTTTAAATAGACATGCTTTTCTATTATAGTTTCAAGTGGCAGCATCTAGGTTTTAACTATTAACTACCATACTTGCGTACTCAAACAAATTCCTCCTGAAGTTCACGTATATTAAAATTTTTTTCAAAGGTGTCGGACTATGAGTATTTATATTTAAACATTATCAGCTGGTTAATATAACTCGTATAAAACTTTACTAACAAGGGAAACTTTCGGACTTTCCATTGGTCCAAAACGAAATATACGTTTATGTCCAAAACGAAACTTTCTGGAATGATCAAATATGAAACAAAATGCTTAGAGTGTAGCATTTTGCAATCGCTCTCAGCCTCCTGGCAGTCCTCATAATGGACAATATAGTGACACCCGTGACTTTAATATTTTTAGTTGCAGATTGCTAAACATAATCTATGAGAATTGAAAACTTTATATCGTCAACAGAGATCACGTATCCCACGATAAAACTGACATGTTATTCATATATGCCACTCCATCGAATGGTAACGTAGTGGAAGAAGGCAGAGCTTCGAGCAAAATTGTTGCTTGCACTAGATCAGGGGTTCTCAACCGGTGGTACGCGTACCACTGGTCGATGATGCAGTGGTACGCGTACCACTGGTGGTACGCAAGAGAAAAATAGGTGGTACGCAAAGAAGCAAAGTATTTTTAACTATTAAATTAAAAAATTAAAACCCCAACATCCTGATTGAGTTTTTCTCTAACACTCTTAAATTTATGCAATCTGAGCTTCGTTCAAGAGTGGCGGTGCTAGTAGTACTTTGTAGTAGTGGTACTAAAGGTTTTCAATTTTTGTTTAGGTGTTACGCGGTGTTTAGGTCAAACGGTTGAGAACTGCTGCATTAGATGATGGTATATCACAAGTAAGGTTAGCTTTTTATATGTGGCACACTGTAAAATTTATGTCCAAAACGAGAGAGACATGTTTGAAGTGGTGAAAGAAATATGTGCTAAATTTTAAACTGGAATAGTTGTATTAGGAACTTGGCAATAAACTTTATGAGGTATTTCTTTCCTTCTTTTCCATGCCTTCGTGCTATATGCCAAAACTCTAGGAACGATGTCTGTAACGATTCTTCAGGCAACCATGTTCATAACAATCTTTCAGTCAACCAACTTTGCCAATTTTTTTTTTTTTGTTGTTGTTGCATTCCAACAGCTTTTATAAACAAATCGTAATATTTCATGCTTTAAATATAATTTTGAAATATTCACTAGTGGAATTTTCCAGTGATGAAAGAAACTATGGTAAGATTTCTTCGGGAACACAGAATTTTGAAGCAAAACTCTAAAGAGAACAACGAGGAAATGCGTTATGTTGATTACAAAGTCTGGTATTCTTAGGAAGCATACTCCATCGACTTTAAAAAGACTACAGAAGAATTATCTTCCCGTCCTGTGATTACAGAAAGAAAAGTCAAAAGAAGTGTATATAAGATCCTTTTATTTGAACACAAAGAAATAACGATGAGCCAACTTGGGTTTAAACAGGCCAACACTTCTGGCTTAACTTTACGTAAAGCTGCACTAAAACCAAATGTAATACATTAGTCTAACGGCTTACAGGATAAAGTAACGAGCAGGAAAGGCTCTGGTATATAGAATTTTGCGAGACAAGCCTAATGGCTAGACACACTCAACGGTATAGAATCAAATCACTAAAAAGTCAAGTACTATCAAGCAGGCAATCCTCAAGTAGGCAGAACACGCTTTAAATTCAACTTGGGAAATTTTCGCTTAAATAGCACTTCTTCCTCCCTCAATTTCAATTAAACGCTTGCTATCTCATTAACATTCTGGCATGAAAAGTGTGGGTGAAAAGAGAACTTACAACAAGAAACAGGGAAATACTTAAAATATTAGTTAAAAATAAATAGATAGATGCTCACAAGACAGTTGACGTTACCGGAGTTTGCGATGCCGTATCTTTGCAAGTCTATTATCTTTTTAAGTGTAAACAGATCGCTGTGTACTTGGGCAAAAGAATAAAACAAAAATGACAGAAAGATTTATAGCAAATGTAAATATTTTATTTTCTAATGTATCACGTAATACTTACTTAAAGTTTATATTTTAAATTATTAAGGTATGTTTTCTTTTTATGTGTTGACAATGTTTTCCAGCTGGAAATAAATACCGACGCTTCGCAAATCTTTTTCAAAAAAGTGAGGCGAAAATCGCCATCTTGCAGCCTATAAGTAACTTTTTGCTTTTCATTTGCAAAAAATCGTCAAACTGGGCCAATATGGTTGCTTATTACTTAAATACCGGAAAACCTTTTTTTAATTTTTATCATTGGAAATGAATTTCTATACAACAAGAAAAATTATATATTGATACCTACTGGTTATCTCCCCCCCCCGACATCGGTATAACTGACATATACTCATATGACATGATATTTTCATGATATCACATGACGTTTTTGACAAATACCCAACTCATCCATGCGCGCGCCACACGCTTGTTTGAGGATACGTGGATTTACATTTTTACTTCCTTGTACGAAGTAAAAAGGAAGTATTGTAATCGCGAAAAGTTTCAGGCAGCATATTTCAACGAAAATATCCATTTTGACCGCTATCGAAGGCAAATGAACGTATTTTTTGCGTGATATCTGTACGTAAGGACAGAATAAAAGACTCGTTTCCTTAAAAAAAATTATAAAACTGCTTTAAAATGAATTCTGAAGAGAATTTTTCGTGGCCTCTGTACGAACGTATGTACGTACGTACGTGCGTATCTCGCATAACTCAAAAACGAGTAGCCTCAGAACGTTGAAATGTTGTATATAGGACTGCTATAACATGTAGATGTGCACCTCGTATTTTGGTTGCAATCGGCCGCAGCAAACGTATATAAATATATTTATATATATATCCACTCTGTTACCCGGCTCAGTGATCTCAGTTTCTTTACTCTTATATGTTTGTAAATCGTACATTTTTTGATTTAAAAATGATTGAATTATGTTGTTTTTATCTTCCGGTTAAGGTTTTTATGCCTTTAGTAAATCTGTGTGAAATATTTTTAGAATTACCAACAATTTTAAAGTTGTCTAAGCGCCGCTAAGCCTTTTTTTTTTTATGGCGGCCATTGATTGTTTACATTTGAAACAGCAGACTAGTGGATTTGTTGCCAATCTAGAAAAACTTAGCTTCGCAACAACAAAGATAACGCCTTCATTTATTATTGTCAATTAAATCATGCTTAATCCTTTCTGGAATTTTTTCAAGGAAATAAGTGTTTAAGATTTACTTC